GAGAGGACAATCGGTAAGCGTATTTTTCTCTCCCCTTGTTGTTTTCGTTTCAATATTTGATCGATTATTGTTAGGTTTTTTGTGCGCTCGTCTTTTCTTGTTTTGTTATGTAATAATTATTGCTTTAGCTTAGCTCCGTTTCATGTCGCTTAGACAAGGTTTTCTTGTTTGTATTTTTAGTTTGACGTGTTTGACATCAGATTAAATCCCATTGAATCACAGTTGTTCGTGTCTGGTGTTAAAATTCAGTACATCGTTGTCCTCGTGAGAACTTTGACTTGCGACATGCCTACGCTGTTAAACGCCTGCATTTACAAATTAAATAAAATATAATTACAAAAATAGATAGACAGAAAATTCACGATGTAAAGAGACGTTTTAGCAGCCATTCTTGCAATAGCAGATGTCATCCGTCGAGTTGTATCAGTATTGTATGTTTATTGCTATGTTTTAGGCGGTAGTTCAGCTACGGAACAAAACAATTAACGCAATCTCTTCCCGGCCCCAGGATTTCATCTCGACTACCTTTCCCTTTTCTCGCTTTTATCCTATAGTATTGACGTCATTTCATCGGATATCGCAAACATTTTCCAAATTTGGTCAACGATGTCTAGTTAAGAAGAATTAGTTAGAGGATTTGACCCAGACAGAAAAATATTTTGAATGAATAATGATGTTATTAATTTATACGCCGCGGGATCATGTTTCGTCATTACCGGTCCAGATCCTTCACCAAAGAAGGCTCGTTTGGCTGGATACAGCGCAGTTTTGAAGCCGAGCTCCCTACAAGCCACTTTTGCAGCCTGCTCGGACCAGCTTTTGTCACAGATTGTTCCCCATTGACCATTATGGTAGACCTCAATACGACCCCCTCCAATATCGTCATTTGCAGTGATCAAGCGAATTCTGTACGCTGAAAAAATAAGTAAAAACAATACAACAATAAAATTAAAATAAATAAATAAATAACTTACAATAAATAAAACAAAGGACGCTCCCGTAAAAAGAACATCGATAGACTGAAATAACGATTTTGATTATAGGCAATTATCAAACTGAATCGTAATTAGCTGGTCCCCGAGTTTACCTGTTACAATGTTGTTGTGTAAGATTTTGTTGCCTCCGTCCGGGTAAAGAAAAACTGCTGCTGATTTTTTTTTTCACGCATTTAGATGTAAAAGGTGCTATTCCTTTTTTAGTATCCTACCAAATTAATTAGGTTTTTTTTTTAATTTTGGGTGCTCTCTTGAATACAAGATTCACTTTCGGTGCCCTGTAGACACGACTGGCCCTTTACGCTGAAAGTGTCTTGCTGTCCGTGCATGCGTCTTGAAAATGCTTGCACCTGATTGTAATCATTTCATCAAATGAGTATCTAGCCGATTTTTTGAAAACGAACCTAACAAAATTTGCAGCCATTTGAATGAAAAAAGGCCAAAAGGCAGGTATTTTTGCACTCGATAAGCTTGCCTAAAATCACACTCTAAAAAAGCGAAGGCAAAAGAAATGAAGAAAAGAAAAGAGTAGGGAGGATTTGTTTATCATTTGTTTATTTACACCACCACTTTTTACGTAAGACTACAGCATCATATTGAATTTGAGATAAAATTCATAGAACTGTAATTACAAGATAACTTAATCTTGATAACAATACAGTTTAAGTTGAACAAGAACAGTTTTCTACAAAAATGTAATATAAATTGAAGGATCAAAACAGTGAACATGGTAAGGAGAGCACAGAAAGCCAAAGGCTCAGTTGCACAAAGAGAAGAGGGAAAAAAAGCAATGGTTGCACTCTTATAATTTTATATTCGTTACTTTGGAGATAGTTTTTGGCCGAAAAAGTACTACTTGACGGAAGAGGTCTATTTGGGGGAAAATGTTTTCAAAAATTCGGCTAGACATGAGTGTAAGAGAATTTTACCAAAAAGTGTGAAAACATAACTATACAGTAACTCGATAAATGTTACCAAGGGGGGAACAACTGAAAATGGGCTATTGTATTTAATATCCGTACCCCCCCCCCCTTCCCCCGGTTGAGGACTTACCTTTTCTTCTTCCCCCTGAAGATTGGCTAAAATTGCATTCACCCCTGAAGACTTCCATAAAATGTGGGTTTACCCCTGAAGAATTGGGTCATACCCCTGAAGAATATGGGTTTACCCCTGAAGAATTTCGTGAAAATTAAGGCTTCACCCCCAAAGAATTCCATATTTTTTTACTCTACCCCTAAAGAAATCGAATCGAATTGAATGAGAATTGATTTTTACTTTAATACCAACTCGCAAGTAGATAACAACAAAACAAAGTGCACTTTCTTAAAACGTTAAAAAAATTATTTTTTTCGTAAATCCAATTGTTACTGTCTATTATTAATCAACTTACGTATTTCGACGGTTGCCTTGCTGAACGCTGTTGACAAAAATGGATTACAACCCCAATAAGTAGGCCGCACATTTGCAAGTATTTTCTAAGGTGTGAATAAATAAAAAAAGCTAATAAAATCTACGGTAATATGTGTGTCTACAGGTGCCCCTATCAAAAGGGATCCTAGAATAAAGGTCAAATTAAAGGGGCTGTGTCACGGCAGTCCTGTTCATTTTGTCTTATTTTGCCAATTACTCGCCCTCAAAGTCAGAGATTCGAGACAAACAAATATGTCTTCTGAGCATTATTTTTGAAGTTGCAAACTGTTAGGCTGAACAGTTTTCAAAAACCCTAACTTCAATCCGTTTCAATCTTCTTCAGTTTTGCTCACCCCTGGCATCTGTTGTATCTGTTGGGTTATTTTAACCTTCCTTTAAAGTTTTAAGCGGTTATTTTTATGTTTCTCTTAATTTAACGGGCATTTTGTAGTTGCCTAATTTGGCCGAATTTCGTGACACAGCTCCTTTAAGGCGAACCTCTTATCGAATTTCTAGCCCGGGTGTGAAATAAGCCTCTTGTCTTCACGTCCTCCTCGGTATTAAATGTTAGTGTACAAGATTCGGTGAGTTATTGCGATAAACAAGGGTTTGGGAGAAAGACATCCTCGGAGACCCAGGGGCAGATAGTGGCGGAGAGGGAAAGCCTAAACGGGCGGAAAAATATCGCACGAAGAAAAGTAAAGAACGGCGAGAAGAGCCCCTGGGGACAATGTCTTACCAGACCAGTTCTAAACGGTCGCCGCCGTTCTACCTTCTGATTGGGCAGAAAAACACGTTTTCTGGCACCAATCAGAAGCCAGAACGGCGGCGACCGTTTGGAACTGGTCTGGTAAGACATTGTCCCCAGGGCTCTTCTTGTCGTTCTTTACTTTTCTTCGTGCGATATTTTTCCGCCCGTTTAGACTTTCCCTCGCCCCCACTATCTGCCCCTGGGTCTTTGAGGATGTCTTGAGATGATTTGAGATCTAGAATTTTCGGAACAGTTGTTGCAAAATTTCTTGCTTGCCTGCTTCTCCTAGGACTTTCGAACATCTGAAAAATGGTCTAATTGCCTATTTTTAACGGATTTTTACCCTAAAAAGGTCACCTAGAACTTTCGGGAGTCTTTTTTCTGGCTGGAATTTTCAAAAGGATAAGTTTTGATCCCTATATTTTTCGGATCACTAGACTTTCAGCTAAGAAATCCGAACAGATGAAAAATTTTTAGGGGATAAAAATATGCCTATATCTATCGTTTAAATACTAAAATACGTTTAACAATGTTATGTTTAAGTGGTTTTGAACTATATTCTCGTTGGGTGCCCCTGTTCGAAGGGAACAAAGCTCAGTAGCTTTTAAATTGGATATTAAATGTAGTTTACAGAACTTATTTACATAAGCTGACAAATACGAAAAACTCTCGATCAAAACTAGAAGAGCGCCTAGGAAGTGTTAATTTGAAAATTTTCCATTTAACTGGAACAAAAACTGTGGTCATTTCGAAAAAACATAGGTAACAAACTTTGAAGAGTGGTTGTTTGGTCATTTTGACCGGAAATCGTTTGAAAAAACAATGAGTTTTAAATTTGACATTCTTTTTATAGAGTGTTTTTACATGACGTCACGGCGGCCATATTGGTGTCCCAAATGAAACGGCCCCCATGTTGGTGTCCCAAACCAATTCTGTGGGTGTTGAACTCTTTTCTTATGCAAACGCTTTCTTTTGTTCCAATACGTTTGCATAGATGCTGGCCACGTGAGTGAAAACACCCTATTCAAAGGAGCTTGAATGGTTCTGATTTCACTTGAACAATACATTGAATTATTTCGTGCAATTGGGTCATCAGTTTCCCTACAGAAATAATCAATATTTGACGTGCATACTGAGCTTTCTACCACGAAATTTATTTAGCTGTAAGCTGAGCCTACTTTCGGCTGTTGTCCCTCGTTTACTAAGAAGAAAAACGGATGATTGTCATAAATTTTACTCCATAATTTGAATAGAATTAAGGTATGGTTCATTTTTGCCCATAACGCAAAGAAAATAATAAGTAAAATCTTGTCTTTCAAGTGAAACCTTGCGTTTCCGTCTTGAGCCTAGGAAAACATGGGAAAAAAAATACGTTGACCGCTGTGCGGTCTGTGAGTTCAGCAATCATTTCACACTATATTATTGCGCTGTGCATAGAGGTTTGAACTTTTCTAGCTTTTTGTCTCTAATAATAAATGACTTATTTAATTTTAACTTTGGTTACCATTCGAGAACGAAAGAGAAAATTTATGAAAAGAGGAAAAAGGTGTTGGCCGCTTGACACTTTAAACTTAATTTTAACCAACGGCATTCAAAGCCTAAACGTTGTCCGCGATATGATAACTCGTAATAATCTCAACTTCTTGAAAGTAAGCGAACAAAATTTATCGCAAGTATACAGGAGAGACATTTTTGTTTTCTGCTTATCTTCTTTTAACTAAAACTTCTGAATTCGCCAGCACTCCTGGCTTTAAGGAGAAAAATCGGACGAAGGATGCAAAAAAGGGATGAGGGTCTATGTCTAACGATGAGAATTAAATCAGTGGATTTCAAATATCTTACTATAATAACTTTCCATGGTTTAAAATTTTAAAGTTTCTTTTGTAACCAAAAACCCATAGAGTTGGAGCATTTTAGATTAAAATGTGGTGAAACCACTTATAATATTTTGATTCTTGAAAATATGTTTTAGTCCTTACGGGAACATTTCTTGTCATGTTGAGAATGTGGAGTAGCCGAGATAATTTTGATACCAAAATAGGAAATTGCATGAGGAATATTGCAGTCTTCAATAAGGCAAACAAGAGAAACAGTACTAATATCGACGCAGAGGACTGCAAGGATTTTTGTATCTCTTTTCGGGTTTTAACTTGCGGTGGGGTGAGGGCGATAAATGACACTGAAGTGCAAATACAAAGGTGTGACCATTGATGTAATAGCTAAGAAACAGAATCTTCCAGCAGTCTTGTCAGTTTTCCTGTTAACCTTGCAAAATTCAGTTGATTTAATTCACTGAAACTCTCAAATCGGATACAAAAAAAATTCTCCTACTGATAAACGAACAGTAGATATACTTACCTGCAAGAGAAGCAATTGCGAGTAAACCGCGTAAACTCCATAAAAGTCTCATGGCTGCTGCAGTACTAGTGCTCTCAAGGGCTTCAATCTTAGTTCTTGTAACCACAAATCAGTTTCTAGATCCTATAAAGAGCAGATGAACCAGCGCTAACAAATTATGTTTGCTTTTTTGCTGACAAAAGTGACAGTTAAACGATTAAACAGGAGACATTTCCGGCCAAGTTTCGCTTATCAGGACTGATTACATTCGCTAGTGTCCCATGATTGCTGCGTTTAAAGAAATATAATGAGATGTCCCAGCAACAACAAACGTTAGCAAACAATTTACAGAGATTTATGGCGAATCTTAATTATTTTTTTAAACAAAATGTTACGTTTCCATAGTGCTCAATTTCAAATACTTTCTGCCGAAATCAGCAGATTTGTACAAATAAATTGATTTAATCCACCGCAATTATTTGTCACAAATCTGCACCGGTTGTTCACTTAACAAGCGCTCATTGTACATTTTCCTTCAGGCAAAAATCTAGAGAAGGAATACTTTCTGGATATAGGTAGCGATAATGAGAACTCTGACGAATCGTTGAGTTCCCAGCAGTACTGAACTGCCGAAACTCTTGTATATCGTATGGAGAATTGAGATTTGCATGTTGCTTGCGAGAGATTGATTGAAAATAGTAAAGATAGAAAGTTAACTTCTATAACGCCAGAAATATATACATATATATGTGCAAAATTATATGACACGTCCGTCCGCCTATTTGCTACTGCAATGCCAGTATCGCATGCCATTCATGGTAGTGTTACCAGACGATAAACGGGACAACACCCAGGACGATAAACAGGTGCCAGAAAGTCTTATTCTTCCAACTTAGTTTTTCCTTTAGAACATTTTTGTTCAAAATGGCATATACTACTCAGTTTATGGACTCCTGGTTCGGAATTGAAATTTATAGAGTTGTTTTAACCGTTTAATGCTCTAAACAAAATTTTCAAGGAAATACAAGTGCAAAAGTTATGCGGAACTTCCCAGAAGATTTAAGAAAAAGTCGGACAAAATGCATGTTTTTCAGAGCTTTATCTTACTATTTACTTAGATTTAAATCAACAGTTATTTGCCCGATGGTCTTTTTTCTAAACAGCTCAAAGGTTTCAGCATAATTAAGCTTGAAAAACTACGTTGCCATGAGCGATATTCCACTTCCGGAACTAGTTTCGCGTTAATAACGTGGAGATTAAACTGTTCTTTATTTTAGGCATATGCATTGTTTCCTTGTTTGACAGACCGCGCTGCGATAATTTATTCTTGAAAATGAAAACCCAATTTGTTGTTGTTTTTTTTTGTGTGTGAATCAATCTTCTCAATACGAATTCCTTACCGGCTTTTATTACTACAGCGTGTTTAATCTTTTTCACCGATTCATAGATCACTTAAAATACAAGAAAAGCGTTCAAAAAGTTTCAATTGATTATTTTAAGGGTGAACATTGCAAAAACAAAATTCAAACAAATAAACCAAAACAAAACATTTAATCTGTCTGTCATGATGCTTTTAGTGTGAAAAGTGCATAGGAGTGCATTTAGAGGTTTGTCATTACACCCATTACGTGGGACAAAAATTCATTTTAGCGACTTTTTTGCAATATTGATTTTTCAATTTAGTACTGTCTCTCCGCTCTTGACACAATTCTAACTGATAACGTGATTGTTTGCAAGCTCGTGGGCGGGGAGCTTAAGGTGAGTAACAAGGATCCTACCAAGACTGACCTTGGCTATCGCCAAGCGACTCCACGAGTAAAGCGAGTGAACTGAACAGGATGAAGTAGGAAACATCGCGGTTGAAATTGCTATACTTTCTCTTTGGTGTTATAGTGCTTTACGATTAGTGTATGGAGCCTTATTAGTCGCAATCTCCTTTGAATAGATTCTAGAGCCAATGTTAATTGCCCGCCTACCCCTCCCCTAATCCAACGTTGATCAACAAACCCCTCGCTTCGGGTGAAATGTTGGGTTTTGTGAGGCTGGATCAGTAGAAGACTTGTACCGGCAAGGTAATTGAAACTGTTGAGTCCGCAGGCTCAAGTCTCAAAGTAAAATCCCGTACAAATAAGTAGCATCAGTGCTTACAATACGTAATGTACAAGGGAGGTCCGACTCGTGAATCGTAGTGCAAGACCATTTAAATCAAAAGAACAGTCCCGGAGGGAGCCATACCTTTTTGTGATAATGTTTACTTTACTATACGTTTTGGATTTGGACAAAAATAATACTAAAATCTTTTTAGTGAAAAAGCTCAGTCACACAAAGCCCTTCCCTGAGCACTTATATTGCCGGGCAATCATTGGTGTTGTATGTCGGTTGAAAACTTAAATTTTTATTGATCAGCAAGAGTTGTCTTTTCTTATCCGAATCCAAGCCTTCTCATTTGTTCATGAGCAGAGATTGCGCTACCTCAGTCATACAACAAAAGAATTTGAAACAGTCGGTCTCTGGTGGATTTCTATAAGCACATTTCCGGCGAATTTTCCAATTTTGACAATCTGGTCCACTTCACCGCCACTTCAATATTAATTGCTTTTCACATCTTAGCGAGCGGAACCACCTCTCGAAATGTCAATCAGAAGTTTATGAAAATAAAGTAATAACGTGGGCGAGTAATTTTATAGAGGCTAATTTTTTCTGAAAATCGACATTAGACCACGCCGCTTTTGGCATTCATCAAATCTGTCAAATTCAGTTTGAATATTCAAAAAATCCCAAAACTGAAGGCCGTCAGTGAAGTATCAAACAGCTTAAGCAAGGGCGAGAGCATAGAAGGAATGGAAACTGATCGAGGAAATCAGGAACAGAAACGATAAGGGAAGGAAAAACACAATCTTATTAGAGTTATACACGGGCCAGAGAGAATAAGTACAAACCAATTTCAGCTAAAAAAACACAAACCGGATCGAGTCATTCCCCAAAAGGAATGCCTGTTTCTTTCCAATAGAAATAAGTGTTTAATCCCTTAACATTTGTTGTTAGACCATGCTCTTCCATCTTGCAGTTCATTTGAGCTTTATTCAACATTATCAAAGCCCATTAACAGCTCCGCTCAAACAGAGAGAGACGGATATCACAAAAAAACGCACCAGATAATTGTTTTGTATCACCACGGAGATCGTTGAATTGAAACAAAACTGTCTCTGCGTATACCAGGGGGGCAGAATTTTGAAGTTTGTTATTTCGTTCCTTCCTTGTTCTCTTTCTTTATATTCATTGTTGCAATTAACCTTAACGAAGCGGAAAAAAAGTCTTTGCAAAACCTTCCCCTTTCTAAAGAGCCTTCTGTGAGGTATTTTCTTAAAGTACATGACGATAGTGAACTTGGCCGCCACAATGTGCATGTTAGCAAATATACTCTTCACTTAAAATCGTCAGCTGCGAAACTTCTGCTACAATGATCAATGAAGAGAAATACGTACAACTAAATTATATTAACTTTAATAAAAAATAGGTCCGCAATGCGTACATGTGTCTAGTGCTGGGTAATTGAGTAATGTGTATATGATAATGGTTATATAGGATTGCGTTAGACTTCGTGAATGCAATTAGGATTTATCCGCCATAGAGTACAGGAGTGGAGGCTGAGGTATAATCTAAAGCTCCAACAGTCTAGCAAAGAAATATGGCTAGAACTAACAAACGTTTTGAAGGTGATTTAGAAAAGTAAGGAGGAGTAGAGGTTGGTCTGCTTTGGGGTGTGGTTGAAATTATTGCAGACATTTTTCTGGAAGTAGTGCTAACTATTATGAATTTGTTATTTTTAACATCACAGTGGTAACGATGAAATGAATTGAACACAACTTTATTTCAAGGCAACTAGTTTTAAATGAGAAATACAAAAAGTTATCAAGAGGTCTCAATCCCAGCTGACCTAATCGATAGTTTAACAATAAGGTGGAACCTACTGACAATGCAGTTTGATCACAGACATTTTGCTCAGGGCCTGGATTTAACTCGATATCACCGGACATCAAAAGCTTCATTTTCGATGCACAATATCTTTTGGTACAGCTACATGATTTCACTGTTTTGTGCTTAACTAAACAATGCATACTTACTTGTTTACTATTTTGAAACAACTTGTTTGCTGCCCATCTTTTAAGATTTGCATAGTCGGTAAAAAAGCAGTCGCATCTGTGTACGTATGTTACATACCATTAAGTAAAAAGTCAGTCGCTAAACTTGAACAAACTTGAAGATTTAGGAGTAAATGTCCTGAAAATGCGCTTCAGCTTGCGTCTAGCTTTTCTCTTTTTCATGGAGCTCACAATCTTTTTTATCGGTAATCTTGACGGCTCTCGGTCTCTCTGACGTTTTTCCTGTACTTTGCACTGTCTATCAAATTCTCTCTCACACGGCCAGCACACCTCCTCATCAGTGCTAACCATCGCATGGAAAGATTCAGTAAAAACGACCCTTGGGTGATATTTAACAAGATTACGAGTTCTAGTATGACTTTGTCGGAAGGAAATCGCCACAGCTTTCGTATATGTTTGGCTAATGAAAGGTATTTTCACATTAAATCCTTCAGCGGCGAAAGATTTTCTGCCGTTTACATTTCCCTGACAGGGCTTATTTAATCCCTCCGCGGGCTTTGTTATCCTCAAAAGGGGCTCAATATTTCCCATAACGGGCTTTTCTTTCCCCAACTGTGGCTCATAAAGCTTAATTTGTATCCTCTTCGCAGGCGGTCCCAAAATTGCAGCATAGAGATTCTGTCGGCGCCAAGTACCTTGATCTTCAACTTTGAAGCACCTTTCGAAACCTTTCATTCGGCCGGATTGACACATATTTCGAAAGCTGTGGCATACTGAGAAAATACGTCATAAGAAATTCATCACAAAGAAGGAAACTAAAAGGTAACTTACTGATAGGACAACTCGTATCACGTCGAAGAAAGCAACGAAAGCAAATCGTCGTAGAGAGGTTTCTAGCAGTTGTCGGGAGTTGTCGTGGAAAGCACATGGTGTTGGCGCAATTGTCGTCTCTACTAATACACATTCGATT